ATAAGGAGTAGTTATCTCATGATCAATACCATGTTCTACACAAAATCCTTCAAATATCCTGAATGTATATTCGCCACCTTCATCTGTTCACAGAACTTTAGTTTTCTTTTCACTCTAGTTTTCGACAAGTATCTTAAATCTCTTAAAGATTTCAAATACTTCATCCTTTCATTTGATCATATAGATCTAGAGCTTTCAACTGTATTCATTGAAAAATGATACGAAATACCTGTTTCCACCAATGGTATGCTCTTCAAAAGGACCACATACATCTGAATGTACAACTTCAATTATGTAGGATGATCTCATTGACATAGTCGAAACGAACGACTTCCTAGACTGCTTTCCAAGTCGACAACCTTCACAGAGTTTTTCTAGCATCTCACGACTTGCTATACCAGTTACTATATCTTGAGTGATCAGTTAATTTAGCGACCTAAAGTTCAGATGGCCAAATCTCAGATGCCACAACTAACTATTCTTGTGGTCGACAACTGTTTTCAGACATTGTACCTCAGTCGAGCTGATCATGGTCTTAAATGTTCTATTCTTCAACAGAGGATATTTCAAGACCAAGTTATTCTAGATGTTGAAAAGTTCTAAGGCTCCATCTTTCATAACCACTGAGAATCCCTTTTCGACCAGTTGTCCAACACGTAGCAGATTGCAATTCATTCTAGGGACATAGAGTACATCTTTGATAAAGGCTTTTGCTCCATTACTCCTTTGAATAACTATATTGACAGTACCTTCTGCTTGCAAAAAGCTATTATCATCAAGTTTGACCTTGCTCTTCTTCGACTCGTCAAAATCAACTAACCATACTTTTCGACCAGTCATATGATTCAAGCAGTCTGAGTCGAGGAACCAGATCTTGGATTTGACATGGTCATCTGCAATTGCAACCATAACCATCATATCATCAGAGTCATCTGAATCTAGATGCGAAGATTTTCTCATTCGTCCCTGTCTTTTGTCAAACCCTTGTTTTTCCTATACCAACAATGCTTGGCCAAGTGACCCCATTTTTCACAGCTATAGCACTATACACCTTTTTTCTCGACTTTGTCTTTCTGATAGGAATTACCTTCACCTCTTTTTGAGGATTCAGAATTTCTATCATCGATCTTATTCTTGTGAGGATTCGACCAAGACTTCTTGCCCTGAGTCTTGTCGATTTTCCCTTTGAACTTGTTAGAACCACCATTCTTCTTCAGCAATTGTGCCTGTAGTGCTTGTATCAAGTCTTGAACTCCTTTCTTTTCGACAATTCCAATCTCATGTGATTCCAACAAACCAATCAAATCTTCCAGTTTTAGGGTTTTAAGATTGTTGTTTTTGGAATTCAGCTTCGATAACATGATCAAAGTGAAAGGTCAACGTACACATTACCTTCTCAACTATCATCTTATCAGTTAGAGTTTTACCACAACCTTTCATGAGATGGACGAGTTTCTATACCTTCGACACATAGCCTGTAATTTTTTCATCTTCTCCCATTGACAACAATTCAGATTATCGTCGCAAAGTTTGCAACTTGACAACCTTAACTTTCTCGCCTCCTTCATAGTACATGACAAGAATGTCCCACGCTTTTTCGCCGATTCAGCATGAGAGATTCTTTCGAAATTATCCGCATTAACCACCGATTGGATGTAGAACGGTGTCTTGCAATCCTTCTTCTTAGCCTCCTTGTGAGCGGTTCTTTGTGCGTCGATTGCATATTCACCAAGCGCAGGAACGCCATTCATGACCACTTATAGGGTTTCATGAAAACCAAATAGAGATTACATCTATTTTCTTCATCGGAGCCAATTCTTGCTGTCAAGAGTTGGAAAGGAGTTTGGTAAATTTCCGTTACCATTCATCTTTGCAGCGATTGATCAACAATAACCCACTATCCCAGAAACACGATCTCTGACGTGTGATTCTTAAAAATGAATTACAAAGTGAAAATAAAGAAACAAGGATTGATATTATTGAATTGATAAAAATGAATTACAAAGTGTCTATTTATATACACTAAAATAACAAAGTAAATAACAAACCCTAAACCCTAGGGTCTGTTTGGATTGATGGAAAAGGATGGAATAGAGTGGAGTTATGTTCCATTGTTTGGATTTATAAAAATTGAATGGAATGGAATGGAGTATGATGGAACACATTCCATCCAATACCACTATTTTGGCCCATTTTTCATTCCCCCCAAATTGGGGTGTATTCAATGGAGTGAAATCAATTAATAAAACAATTACAATTTTATCCTCCAAATTTTCACTTTTATTATTAACCGTTCCTATTCCTTATTTTAATCAACGTGATATTTTTCTATTCATTCACTGCAACTTTTCTCCTTCACAGACCTTCTTCTTGCTTGCAAAGAGTCAATCTTTCTTCTACCATAACAAGATACATCATATTTCTTCTCATTTTTTACCTGTATTTATATGTGTGCTCTATTAAATTAAATATCTTGATTTATCTTCATGTTCATGTCTTTTTTATTTTTCAGAAATTAGGTATAGTTATTAAAAACAAAACCTAAAATTATGATTTATGTTGCTTTATAGTGTTTTGTATGTTAAATTAACTTTTTATTAAGAACAAAAGTAGAAAGTAGATTTGTTGCAAAACTACTGTTCCTGTTGCTTTTCACTACTATTCACGTTGATTGTATTCTTATTATGTATAGAGAAAAACTAATATTATGTAGTATAATAGGAAAATAATTATTAGTAAAATAAGTTTTGATTTGCTACAAAGATTCTTAATTAATTTGGTATTGAAATTATATATTTGATTTGTTTTAAAAATTCTTAATCTATTTGTTCTGATTTTGATATGATTTATTTATTTGTTATAAATATTTTAATTTGATTTATTTGTATATGGATTTATAATTAGAGTAAATTTTACTGTTTAATTTGTTATAGATGACTAACGAAGACATAAGAATCAAGTATATGAAATTGGTTAAAATGATGATTCTTCAAGTATCTATCATTATTGTTCTAATATATTCGCTAAAAAACAAGCGTAAAGGATCCTAAATACCTTATAGAATCACAGAGTAAAGAGAGAAAGTTAGAAATGAGTTGATGAAACATATTGTAGGAAGTGAGTGATGTTATGATATCATTCGTATGAGCCCCAAAATTTTCTTAAACTTGTGCACCTTATTACAAGATCAAGGTGGACTTACACATACACGAAGAGCGTCTATCGAAGAACAAGTAGCAAAATTTCTTCATATAGTAGGACATAATGTTAGAAACCGTGTGATGTCCTTCTTTTTAGACGCTCCGGTGAAACTGTTAGTCGTCATTTTCATAGAGTGCTAGATGCTTTGATAGAGGTGGAGGGAATTTTTTTAAAACAACCTGATGGAACACAAGTGCCTCCGCAGATACTTAACAACCATAGATTCTACCCGTATTTTAAGGTAAACAAATTTTTTGTCTTATACAAATATTGATTAGTTTTCTTGTACACTTTTAATATATAAATTTAATGCCAGGACTGTATTGGAGCAATTGATTGCACGCATGTGCGTGTTAAAGTTCCAATAGAACTCACACCTAGATACCGTGGTAGAAAAGATTATCCCACACAAAATGTGTTAACTGCGTGCTCATTTGACTTGAAATTTACATATGTCTTGGTTGGATGGGAAGGAACTGCTTCTGACTCAAGAATAGTTAAGAGTGCGTTGGCACGTGCACACCCTCTTAAATTTCCACAAGGTAATAAAAAGTAATAAAAAATATTTGTATAAGTATTTAGATTAGCTAAACTAATGGACTCATTATTTTTTTAGGAAAATATTATCTGGGTGATGCAGGATTTCCTTTAAAAGCATGTCTCATTACACCGTATAGGGGAGAACGGTACCACTTACAAGAATACTCTAGAAATCCACCTCGAAACCCTCGTGAGTTATTCAACCACCGACATTCGTCATTACAAATGTCTATTGAATGTGCATTTGGAGTGTTGAAGAAAAGATTTCCAATTTTACAAACTGCAACAGAGCCTACATTTGGTATTAAAACTCAAAATAAAATCATCCTTGCTTGTTGCATTTTACACAACTATTTGATGGGTAAAGACCCCAATCAAACTCTAATTGATGAGGTGCAAGATGAGCTTGCAAACGAAAGAGATGTTCAAGAGGGTCATCAAAATCATAGAGAAGAAAATGATGATGTGATTAACGGAGAGCCAATTAGAGATAATGTTGCTGGTTCTATGTGGCTAGATTATTAAAATTATTCTTAATGATTTGTTACTCTTATGAATAATGTTTTGAAGAATTTTATTTGGATTGAATTTTTTATTTTGTGGAATGAATTTTAGTGTATGATGAACCTTTATATTTGAATTTGTGCATAAGTTATTATATTCTTCGTTGTGTTTTTTAATAATAGACATGGAAGCAAGTTTAAAGAGGCCGAGGAAACTCAAAAGTCTAGAAACATGCAATTGGACAACTGCTATGGATGAAGTTTTGCTTGATGCATATTTGCATCAACAAACATTGGGAAATAAAAATGGTAATAGTATGACAACAAGCGCTATGGATAGCATTCTTAAAGAATTGAAGACTCACTTTCCGGACAAACCAATTTCCAAAGAAAAAATAAAAGATCACATGAAACACATCAAAACAAAGTTCAATTCTTGTTATGACCTTTTCCAGAATGGCTTGAGTGGGTTTGTATGGGATTCAACAACAAATATGTGGATTACCGAAGATGAAGTTTGAAACAAGCTAATTGAGATATTATTTACTATAATTGTTTTATATACTTACCCAATTATTTTTATTTGAGTTCACTCATTAAAAACTTTTTAAGTGATGCATTGATTCGTTTATTTTGGTGTAGGCAAAACCCGAAGCTGCTGAATGAAAAAACAAGCTAATATTATTTTATGATAAATTGGCCAAACTTTTTGGAAAAGATCGAGCAACAGGAGAGTATGAAGGTACATCTGCTGAAATGAGAGCAAAAAAGGCTGCAAATGTTGAAAAAACTCATGGCACAACCATCAAAGAAATAGACCACTTAGTTGAAACCAATGAAGTTATTTTGGAGGGATTTGATGATGATGAACATCATTCCAACAATTCTCCTACAAGACCTTCTATTACCAATTCTCAAGATGTATCATCATCTAGGACTAAGAAGCGAGTAAAGAAGGTTATTGAAGATGATACAAGCATGATTGAGATTTCCAAAACTTTCAAAAAAATGGTTGATGTGTTTGAAATGAATTCCATGGAGCTGGTCAAACAGAGTAAAAATGCTAATGGTGGAGGTATTTGGGCTGAATTGGTCGAGATTGGGGTTGAACCAAGTTCTTTGCCTCTTGTATACATGTACCTTGTTAAGAATGTCGATGCATTGAAAACTTTTAATGGAATTCCAATCGATAAGCGGAAGGAAATGTTACATCTCATTGTTCCAGACTATCCCTTTTGATAATGGTAACATATTTATTTATCACTTTTGAGTATTTTTTTTAATCTTTAACGAATGAAATATTTGCGTAATTTGTTTTATTTTATTTTTGCAGGTTTTGTGGAAGGCTTAAAGAAGAGAGTCATTATCTATTATAGATCAATATTTGTCTTTTTTATTAGCAAGACTTGATATCATTATCTATTATAGACATATATTTATCATTTAATTTTAGCAACACTTGATTTTGTTTATGAATTACTATGAATACCCAATATGGTGTTGATCAAAACTTGTGCACTTGGTCTTTGCAATTTCAAGTTATAATAATCATGTTTCATTTATGAACATTTTAATTTATTACTGTATGTTTTAATTTCTTTCAAGTGTTAAGTTGATATTTTCTATGATTACTTACATATTATTTTAGCGTGAGAATGTTGGATCTATAAATATTGTAGCAAAGGGTAAAAATGAAATAAAAAAGTTATAATGCTTTCCGCTCCGTCCAATTCCCAAACAGTGGAATGAGATATTAGTTTCGCTCTGTTGTAAAATATCCAAACAGTGAAATTAAATTTATATTTCATCTGTTTCATTCCACTTCATCCTATTCCGTTCCGTTCTACTCTGTTATTTTTAAATTATCCAAACATAGCCCTAATTAACTTTGGGTTTGAACTACATAATACAATTTAAATTATATCTAATATCTCAACAATTTCTTGATTTAAAATATTCTTTAAAAAATATTTTCTTGATTTAAAATATTCTTTAAAAAATATCACACAACATGATCTCACAAAAACAACATTATAGAATTTTTTTTACAAGATTGAAACAAGGAGATCATAGGCTTGTAAAAGGAAAAACTCTCATGAGTTTTTCCAAGATTTATGAAAATATAGATTTTGATCACACTAAATTTCTCTCGGGAAAAATCGCATCACTTTCTTAGATGTCAACATCCATCTTAATTACATCACCTTGGAAAATTGACAGAAAAATGATTTATATAAATCTAGAGATTAAACATGTAAAGGTAAGGAAAAATCAAATAATTCGACTCAAATTATAAAATTATGATTTGAATAAAAAAAGAAAGAATAAGTTAAATTAATATAGTAAAATGAAGAAGTTATCATTTTAATCTGAGGACGTGAAAACATTAAACATTGAACATTGTTGTAATCTTATAATAGTAGTTATAAACTTTAATTTACTATAATTTTTTTACATTGTTGTAATCTTATAATAGTTAATAAACTAATTTACTATATTATATTGTGCATACGCTCCCGTGACCAAGTGTGTGCTGGCCATTTGGCAATACTATGGGCACTGTATCACGGGTAAGCATTTGGTACTTTCAAGGAATTGGGTTTTGCAGTAATATTGGAGGTTAATTTTACTTATATATAACTTAAGGTCAATAAGTTGAGTTTTAGAGACTTGATAATGTTGATATGGATAGGAAAAGACAAACTGTACGTAGTATATGTGATGTATCAAAGGTGCATGGATTAAACAATTATTTTTGTTTGATGGTGATATAACACTGAACGTGTGGTAAGTTCAAGCAACTAGTTGTAGCTTTTGGTTGAATGTGAGTTGGCATTGATATTCAATACTACAGCAATTTATATTCTATAAATGGGTAAAATAGACATTTCAAAATCAACAAAATTAAGAAAGTGTTCATGCATGTAAACAAAATATAATTAATTTTAAGAGTACTTTAAAAATTTAAATTAAAAAATCAATTAAAATTCGGACAAAAATTAGAAAATTTTAGGTTTAGAAAAATCATGTGCATTATTATTCTTTTATATATATATATATATATATATATATATATATATATATATATATATATATATATATATATATATATATATATATATATATATATATATATATATATATATATATATATATATATATATATATATATATATATATATATATATATATATATATATATATATATATATATATATATATATATATATATATATATATATATATATATATATATATATATAAAATTCTTTATTTGTACTCAATTCAACCAGAATCTAAACACAATCAACCATTAAAATCTTGTCCGATGCCAAGTCCAATTTAGATTACCTTGGTTATAACTTGCTTTGTGAGTTAATACCAACATTACATATTTTTTATTAAAATTATTTAGGATATCATATGATATATAATAATTTAAATTAAAACTTATATTGTCATTATTATATAATATTAAAATTAAATTAACTTAACAACATAGTAAATTTTATATTCCAGGCTAAATTGCAATAAAGACTTTTCTTTTGCATCGCATTATTATCATAAATGTAAAATAAAAAATAATAATTTAAAATTAATAAATATAATATTATTTAATTAATAGTATAATTGAAAAATAAATAATTAAAGATAAAATTAGTGGGTAACATTTTTTTTGAATGTGATAATGTTATTTCTGGCGAACAATCTCTAACATCTTATTAAAGGTTGCTTGTAGGAACGACTATAAAATTCTAGACTTAGTGTTAAGTATGTAATGGTTATTTAAGTGTTTGAGTTTGAAATGGTAGGTAAGAAATTGGATGAGGCTGCGTTGGTGCAACTAAGATAAATAAATGAGAAAATAAAACAAAAATTAGAAACAAAAGTGAATTGAAAAAGACTTATAAAGTAAATTGCTTGAATATAAGTTGGACGCATGCATACAATTGTGTAGAAAAAACTCGTTTCTCTTAGACACTAGTACTTTGATCTGAAACTAAATTTTACTTAAATAGACATAAAAATAATTGCTGCTTTGTTATCGACTATTCACAGCTTGCCACACGTCCATCCATGCAAACCCACTTTATTTGTAACTTTCCTACGTTCTTATCAACTGCTTTCAAAACTTGCTCGTGTTAACTGTTTTTGACTTCAACTTCGATCTGTATAGTTGTTCGTCGAACTTGCTTCGACTGGGCCCATATGTCCCTTTTCCTGTCTTGTCCGTCGAACCTCTTCGACGACGTCGACCTATTTCGACACTTCTTTATTTGTGATGTAAAGTTTCTCCTTTTAATTCCCTTCTTTTTCTCTAGTCAAAATTTGCTAACTAAACGATAAATACTAAAGAAAAAGAGTTTAAAATGTTAGTAAACATTTTAAAAACTAGAGAGTTATTAATTCTCTTTTGAGAAAATATTAAATTTGTTTTCAAAATAGAAAAGATTAAGTTCCTTAAATATCGAGCATCACTTTTATACTTTTTTTTTCCCATTAGATTCATGTGAAATATGATAGAGACATATTACATTATGTGTAGTACAACTCCAAAGAGTAGAGTTTAAAATTCATTTTAAATTAAAAACCGATTTAAAACCATTTAGAAATGTTTTGTAACAAAAGGTTTGGTTTATCAAAACAGAATATACTATTGTGCTTAACCATGCACATTTATTGAAAAAATCGATTAAAGCGGTAAAAAGATGATTAAAGAAAAAAACTACTTTGATATTATTGGTTTTGAGAAAAATCAATTTTAAAATTGGTTTATATAAAAAACCAGTTTCTATTAAGAACCGATTTTAAACTAAATCGATTCAAATATCATTCAGTTTTGAAAATGTAAACCGATTTTGTAGAAATGGTTCTAAGAACCACACCGAACCATATATATGGACCAATTTGGATTAATTTATAAACCATGCACACTCCTATGTATAAAATTAAAGGATCGATAAATTTATTTTAGAATATTTGGATCTGTTGAGAAAAATCACTTTGAAGATAATCTTAAAATCCACAAGTTGATGGTTTTTGTGGTTCTTCCTCAACCGGTACTTCTTATGCCTCGAATTCTCTTCAGATGGAAAGAAGAAATAATTTTCTTGTCTACGCTATATTGGAGACCATAGCCTATTGTTGCACCCCAAATTTTGACCCCTTAGATCCTCATCATCATTGTATGATCATATTCATTTGTTTAACTAACCCTAACCAATTTCAAGTTTATCTTTGTTAAGATACAGATGAATCAGGGTTCCGTACCGTCGAAATCGAGGCTTCAATGGTCTGATCAATCAATGTTTTGGATTGATTCAACTTCAAACAAGATTAAGAATACAACATTGGGTCAAGTATGAATCCAATTTGAGGTGGTCACCCGGGGTTCGAGAAAAGTGCAATTTGAGACACCCGATTAGGGTTTTTGATTGGAAAAAGTCAATTGTAGTTTGACTTTTGATTCAAAGAGTATTTCAATGATGGGATCAAGGTCCATTGAGCTCCTATGGCTTAGTAAAGCCCATCCAAAGAGTTTCAAGTCCTCAGGATGTCCGGATCACCAACGGGCGACTCGGTAGACACCGATCAATCGAAAAGTTGACCAAAAAGTCAACTCTCCAACAATAAGGAATCTGACTTCAAGGTGTGAATGAAAAATGTTCCTTATATCATATTACACCTCCCCATAAAATTTCATGACCATTGGATCAAGGGTTAGGAAGTAATTGCAAAAATCGGGATTAGGGTTTCGAAAGGGGTAAAACCATAACTCCTCAACCACACATCCAATTGAGGTGGTTCTAAGCTTGTTTGAAAGGTATTGACAAACCCTACAAAAGTCCCACAGTGGTCCATATTCAAAAAATGCATGGAATTGGAGTTATGAAAAAATCATTTTTCTAGTACAAAACACTTAGAGAAATTTCATTAAATTCTGGTCATACAAATCACCTTTTTCAGAACTTTGAATGGTTTTTCAACCTAGTTCCATCAAGAATTTGGAAATTCCTAAAACATGAAAGTTGTATAGCTACACAAGGGCTTTCTAAAAAGTGCAAGAACTCCTCAAAAGGATTTGTGAGCAGGAAGTTATGATGCATTGAAGTTGGGCCTGTCACACTTGAAATCCACTTGGTCCAACTTCTCAAAATCAGAATTTTTCATCTCTAACCACTCTCCACCCTTGGATCATGATACATTATGATATTCAGATGTGTAGAGGAAGTAAATGA